CTTCCTCTTCCTCCTTCTCCTTCTCCTTCTCCTTCTCCTTCTCCTTCTCCTTCTCCTTCTCTTTGCCAAAGAATACAATGCAAAAATTCTACTCAGCTGTTCACTTTTATTCTAAAAGGAGAAAGGAGTTTCTTTGTCATTTAAAAAAGCTAGCAAATTAAGTCAGAAACAGGATTATTCTAGGGTCATTAAAATCCCTTCCTATATGCATTTACCTCAGAGTAAATCCTGTTCAATTTAACAGATATCCATTGGACAGTGCTGTAAGCAAAACAGTTGGAGCACAGTGGTCATTACTCTGCAGATGCTGAAATCTTTTGGGCAAGTGAGATAGGGTTCTCACGATAACAATAACATGGCATTATTCAAGATCTCCTGCTTAAATAACAGAATAGTATAAAGGAATTTTTAAAAGATATGTGACTCTAAAAATGGAATGGGATTTGCGGGGGATCAGGAAGGGAGAAAGTCTTATTAGAGATTCAAATGGACTCAAAGTAGATCTGTGTGGTGCTATTGCTCTTTCGGTGGTCCACAGAGATGGGAGTACTTCCAAATTCAGATTGCTCACAAATCAAATACAGTAAGCTGTTTTCCCATTTCCAATTACCTGCATTAGTTATAATTCAATCTTGCACGAGCCAAAGAATTGGGCCACTTTCTAGAGTTTTTGTTGACTAAGACAGCAGCAAAAATCAGCTTCTCAAGTCTCGCTAGGCTATTATATCTGTATCCAAGGCAATTTGGTTGCACGGGTGGTTGCATGGGTCACACATTGTATGCAGACTAAGTGTATGAAACTCTTTAGGCTTTCCACCAGATCTCAGGATCTTGGGACATCCCAGAACACAGCCTCACCCAATGAAAGAAACATCTGTAGGGGAAGTATGTCCCTCTGTGCAAACAGAGTTTCATGTAGATAAACAATGAGCATCTGGAAGCATATCTGAGAAATACATTGTAGTCTTAATATCTTAAGACTACTGTTAAGAAGAAGCTGTAATATCTGGTTTGATGTTTACCACCTCTTGTCCAGCAGGTTCAAGGTCAGCTTCCACCATTAATGATACCCGTATTCCCTCCAGACCAGCGAACTCTAGCAGCAGCAGCCCAGCAAGGATTCCTCCTTCCACCTGGTTTCAGCTACAAGGCAGGCTGCAGTAAGTCTAGTCAGTTGTTTTTATGCAGGTGGGATATGGTTAAAGTGGACCGAACACGAGTTGGCCTGGGGTAGCAGTGATGCACTTTCAGAGATAGGCCATTCTCATTCAGAATTCAGCTGTGGACCCAGTGGGTCCAGATCAATGCATGGAAGGAAGGGGAGAGAAGCTGAAATTGCACCAAGCTGGTTCAACTCTACCTCTCTTTTAAATCAAGATCTATTTTGCACTAAGACTAAGCGAATACAAACACACAAGCCTAAGGTGTTCCTATGTGTGATCTATGTTCTCCATTTCCACAGATTGCACACTGATCCTTTCTCTCTGATATGGTGGTTGTATGAAACTTTTAGTACTGTTGAGGGTTGAGGCTGCAGACTTTGTCGAATAAAGGGAATGCTTGCCCAGTGTTTAGAGATTTCATTGTGGGGCTTGATAGTACTACTAGACATCTTTTATAATCATTATTGAAATGGAATATGTGTTTGATTTTCAGCACTTGGAATACAATTTTAAAAATGCTAAGTGGGCTAATGTTACTGCTAGCAAACCCTCAGCATTAAGCATGTTTGGTCTCCTGGAGGTCAAAACATTATGAAAATATGTTTTCTGATGTAGCCACATGGATGTGAATAAGGATGACTAAAATGGAAATCTGAAGATTATCCCTCTCTTTCTGTTACCAAAAGCAAAGATATAGGGTGGGCCTGCAAGAATGTGGCTTGCCACCTCTTTTTATTTATTTGTTTTTTCACTTCTCTGAGGGTGTGAAAAAAGAGATCATGGGCTGGGTAAGCCTCCCCCACCTCTGTCCATAATGGCTCTATCCTTGGATCAGGCTACTACATGAGTAAAAAAAGGGGGGGGGGCAAAGGAGACAGCCTTCCCACCAGTTTTGCAGCAGCTGAGAAGTTATCAAAGATTGCCACTTGTCATTTTTCATGGGACCTCTGTTATCATTCATTGCTGATATACAGAGATATTTTCCCCAGGGCAGTGCTTACCTAGTCACTAGATCAGCTGTGTCATCTGGACACAACCCGTACATAATAGTGATCTACAGATTTTTCATGCTGTCCTTTTCAACAGTCCCAGCCAACGTGATCAGCGGTTGAAGACTGTAGCCCAACCCTTTCTTGCATTTATTCCAAAGGAGGTATATATTTACATACATGTCCTGCATCTTCTCTCTTCAAGGCAGAAACCCATGGATTACATAAATCTGGAGCTCTGTAAAATGATCCAGATACCTGTTGATCCCAATACATTTGGGGAATTATATGCGGGCTGATTGCAGAGCATCACTGAACCAAACAAATCAATCAGGGAATCTATAAATAAATGATATGGTTTTTACAGTGTGTTATGGCAGGGAAGGCGCTGGCCTAAGACTGAAGACATCCAGTCAAATCAAGCTGTGGAAGCTCCATGGGTAGTTTGGGGTCAGCTCTCTTTCTCTCTTAGCCCAACCTATCTTACAAGTTTGTTATGGCAGGGATAAAAAAAAAAAATGAAAATGTGTTGCGTGTGCTATGTATCCCCTCTGGACCACCTGATGAAAAGAGAAACCTAACAACAGGACAATTTGGGGGGAAAAGAGGGGGATACTAATGCCCCAAAGGAAGGAGAAATATAGTTTCCTTATTGTTCCTGGCATGATGGACTTCTGCATACATTCTGGATACTATACAGGGTGGTAATGTGGGAAGGAATGTCTGTTCACCTGCAATCTGGCAAAAGTGGAGTGGGCTAGGAATAAAGTAGGAAGGATTGTTTTTGACAGACATTGTAGAGCTTAAATCCAAGCAAATGGATCAGAGAGGTTTGAAATCCATGCCATTCACACTGCCTCTACACCAGCCCTTACTTGAAATGCCCTTCTTTCCCTCCAACTGATGAAAGAAAAGAAGAAGAACCAAGAATTAATAAGATTTCCTTCCCAAACCACCTGTTCCGTACTTAATGAAGAGGTTTAATCTGCCCTTTTTGCAAACAACTTCCCAATAATGTGCAAGCCCCATTAATCTCAATGGGAGTTCTGTGCATAGATCGAGGGTAACATATGCCTCTCAATTTATGGGCTAAAACAAAGCATGAGTTTACAAAGGTTTAAGGCTGAAAAGTGAAGATTAATTCTGGAAGGTTTTGCTTTCAGAGCACTGTGCATCCGTGTGTGTGTGTAAGTCTGTAACAGCTGATGTGAGTATTTGGGCACTTTTATCTAAACTTCTTATAGATCCTTACATACTCCTGTCTTTAAGACATGGATTGTTTAAAAATAAAACAAATAACCTAAAAGGAGAGGAGGAAGACATCAGAACTGCCTTCATTTCAGCAAGCAGATTTATCTTCGTTAGGAATTTCATAAAACTGGTTTCATTCATTTCCGCTTATCTAACTCTTCTGACATCAGTTTTCTAACTATCTGAGGCCCTCTTGTTCTGGGAACTACAGTCTTTGGTCCTTCTGTTTGGCTTTATTATGTTCGCATCAGTATATCATTGACTAATTCATGAATTCATCAATTGTTTTTTGTTAGCCCAGTATACTTCATTGAAAGCAGTTGAATTCGTTTCCAAAGCAAAGAACTAAGCTGATGACAAATCCGTACCATAGTATTACTTTTCAAGATGATGAGGAGGATGAGGAAGATTTTTTACTGAACGTATGTTTAATATGTAGAGCTGAAGGATGGGTCCCTATATGTCTGCACGCTGAATGAAAAGGTTTTCTGGGCAACATAATAAAGCCAGAACTGCCTTAATAAAGCCAGACTGGGCTTTACAGGTAAAAAAACCAACTAACTCTCTCCATGGAGCAAGACTTTTTTCATACTGTTGTTATCTGCTAATATCTAGTAGCCTTTAGGAGCGCTGCCCTAGTTGGATGCAAAACTGTCTTTGTGAAGTTGGGCCATAGGGATCAGCTGGGACTGCTGCTTGCTGACCTTCCTACTTGCAGTGAAGCAGTGCTCCTGCCAGAGCTCCTCAACTCCAAGGCGGAGTTGGTGCTGGAGTTCCCAGGCTTTTAGATCTGGGGTCAGAGGTGGCTTGGGAGTTCATGGCCACCATGGGCCTGATCCAACCTCCAGAGGGGAGGACCCAACCCACAGTGGAGGGCACACATTAGATTTGGTCTTGGAACAGTGGTGTTGTGATTTGGTCTTGGGGAATATTAACATCAGTCCCCGGCTGTGGACAGATCATGCCGTCTTGGTTCTGAAGTTCCACTGTAGGGAGGTGGAGACTGCTCAATCAGACTGCCCCAGGCAACTGATGGACCAAGGAATTTGGGGTTTCCCAGAAACTCTGGAGGATAATTTGAGGCCTTTAAAGCTCTGAATGGCACAGGGCCAGGTTATTTGCAGGACTGCCTTTCCCAGAGGGTATCTGCCCATTCTACCAGGTCAGATAGGGTGGGGGTACTCATAAATGTTGTCATCTCATGGGATCTAGGAAGTGAGAGATAACCCTGTAGTATCATTATTCTTTCCCCCTCCTGACTGCTAAGTCTTCCTTCTTGCAGGATTACTTACATAAGTATCCCATTCAGTTTGGAATCCAACAGGTAAAATAGTGATGCACATCTTCAGTGGCCAAGGCTTCATGTAGTCCTTGAAACCTTGAGCATGGCCCTCCAGAATCCCTTTGCAAGTTGCCTCTTGAAGGAGCAGATTGACCAATATGGGAATAGTAACAATTCCTTGCATTTAGTTACTTTGATTTAAATAAAATTTGAATCAAAACCCATTTGGTTTTATCTCCTGGCTTCATCAAGGGCACTTTTCATAGCTGCATTAAGATGAATTCCTCCTATCCTTGAGTTAGCAGAAAAGTATAGTGACATATTTATGTGGCCTTCATGGCCAAAGTTTACTATGTCTCAGCAGCAAAGCTAGGAAATGTTACTGTTCTTATCCTTTTTAATGAAGGGAAGTTTCAGGGCAGTGATTGGTGGATTCCATAATTTCCTTTGCTGTCTCACCCAGTATTATGTATTGTAGTTAAAACAAGGTTCTGCTCTGTGTTACTCATGCTGTGGTCACCTCCTGAATGGACTATTGTAACACGTTCTATGTGGAGCTGCCCTTGAAGAATATCCAGAAGCTTCAAGTGGTGCAAAATGCAGTGGTGCAGGCAGTTATGTGTACTCCTAGAACTGCACACATTACACCTCTGCTCCAGGAGCTGCATTGGTTGTCAATTTACTCCTGGTTGTCAATTCAAGGTGCCGGTTTTGACATTTAAAGCCCTAGATGGCATGGGACCAGGTTATTTGAGGGACTACCTCTCCTTGATTATGTCTACCCATCCCATCAGGTCCAGCAGGAGAGGTATGTTATAGGTCCTGTCTTCTAAGGAATTCCATCTGATGGGATGCAGGAGGTGAGCCTTCTCTGCCATGGTATCCACCTCATCACCCTCCCCTCCAAGATGAGATTGGCCCTGACCCTACTGATTTTCCAAAAATCCCATAAAACCTTGTTTTTTCAGCAGGCTTGAGGAAACCCATGAAATGGCTCTACTGCATGTAAGATCTTGAAGGCACTCTCTTGTGGTTTTAGTTATATTTATGTTTTAAATGTTTAATGGTTTGTAAAGTTTTATTTTAATTGTTCTGTTTTTATTGTATGCTGTCACATTCATGAGATACTGTAGGCAGCTCTATAAATTTGGGAGGACCTACACATAGCCTTTCAAAGCCTCATTGCCCATTCACAATGTTGTGGCACCTTGAGGAAGGTATAAGACAGATGTTAAAGAGGGAAGGAAGGAGCCAACCATACAGGAGAGACTTGGAGAAATGATTATACAGGCCTGAGATAGAAGGAAGCATGAGAAAGAAACTTAAAATAACCCAGCCTTGATTTTATTTAGTATAAGATGGAACAGAGAGAAACTTGGAGAGGCTATTAAGATTCTGTTAATATACCCTACAGCAATAAAGTAGTGTTTCTGGAATCCTGCTGTGGCTGTTTTTGACCTGGCCTACTTCAAAGG